AAAAAAAAAAAAGAAAAGGTTTGTCGCTCAAAGAAACCCTCCCCTAATGTTGTGGTTGAATCGTGCGCCTCAAAAAATGCGTATTCACGACCCTCTGGCTCCGCCTCGCCGATAGTGGCTCCACAGCCCTTTCCATTCTGTAGCACAATAGTTTTCCAACCGTCGATTGCCACGTTGCCGCCCAAAATGCACATGCTACCTATCCAAACCTCAATGCGTACAGCCGGGGGGTGCAGACCATTTCGGCAGAGAAATAATGAGAAATGTGGTGAAAAGAAACATCTACCTCATAAGGGCCATTGCAGTTCTTATCCTCTGGCCGCGCAATGCATCGCCGTCGCTTTTCAGTAGGCTTTTCACCCACGACGGAAAAGGGAATTCACCAAGCCCCGGTAGGTATGGCGGAGGTATGACTCAGGATTCCAGCATTCCATCGCAAAGACTCGCCCACAGAAGGGGTGCGGCGATGCCCCGGCTGTAAAACAACCCCCGGAGCACGTAAGAACCGATACCATCCTTCCTGGAAACGGCGCCGAACCGCATGGGCAAGGCGGGCAATGACCTACTTAAAGTCCAGGAGAGGGGCATTAAACTGCTGCCGGGGAACGGGCGCCTCATCCTAGGAAGCAGCCGTGCGTGTGTGGTGCGTCCATCTTGTTGCTGTAGCCCTTTTCTCCTATATTGATTTGATTTCCGATGGAATCGAGGGTTCCTAGCCACTCAACCCTACATCAAATCTACTATTTCTGACACTAGACTCAGTCAAGCCTTTGACTGGCCGAGATACCACGCCGTATTCTGAGGAAGGTTGGACGGATCGAAGCATTGCGCCAATTGCGGGATAAAATGAAGATCGAGATTGTGTTGCAAAACCAAATTCGCCACGTGCCGAAAAGCCACGCTTTTGATTGAGCACGCTTGCTTATCCCAGTGGGCGAGGGACTTTGCTAATTGTGACGTTGTCAAGACGGTAATCATTTTTCCGCACCCCAAGGCCAACAGGAGTTGAATCTAAACGAGCGCATCATTCCCTTGACTGCATATGTAGCGGAATGCCCTGTAAGGGTCCATTTGCACCTTCTTAGGAGCCACGGGCCAGTCTAGCAGGACAGATTCGCCCTGTTGGATGGTGGGGTTCTTGTGAGTCAGTGCAGCCAACTCCGCCCAGCGGCTCATCTAAATCCATACCAGCCGAAAAGGCAAATTTTTTTTCCCGCAGTCCGACATTGGCTGCATCAGTACATCCATTTTGGCCTTGGAAAGGGGACGTGCTTGCTTGATATCACTCCAAGCTGCCCGATTCTGGAAATCCAGAATCATCATGTCGAGGGGGGTCGGTGTATGCGCAACATCGCCCAGAACATCCTGGCGCATCGGAGTGTTCTGGACGCTGCGTGCTCCTCCGCCACCAGGAAATCCGCAGCACCCTCGTCATTCATCGACCAATTGTGTGCTTGCCAAAAAAAAAAAACTCGCAAGCCGCCCTGCCAGTGAGAGTTGCTTGACCCACGCCGAAGATGCCCACATCTCGCGTGCCACCGCGTTGCCCCCGCCCCTCACGCATCGCCCCCGGGTTGGCGAAGCAGTGGCATTTTCGCACCATAACCGATCGCCGTCGGCGGATGGTCTCCAGGCTGAGGCTTCCCGATTGCGGGCAGCCGTTTATAAGAGAGGGTATGTTTGTCGAAACTGACTTGCCAGCCGGGCGGGGGGCGCCCAGAAAGGGCATAAGGCGAGGGCTACCCTTGCCCACCGCCATTGGTGGCGAGCAGACCCAGGTAAGCTTTTTGGGCATCGACCCCGTAAGGAATATGGGGGTTCCCCCCGGCTTTTCCATGGTCTTCCTCACATTAAATTTCGAGGCCGTATGCCCTGTTAAGTCGCAACGGTAAAACTGCAAAGCCAGACGCACTGGAGGACTACCAAATAAATGTTTTGTCGCCCTTGAAAAGTGATCGGCTTCTTGGACCGCCGCATGTGGACGCTGTCGGACTTTTAGCTGCTTAAAATAAAGGGACCCGCAGCCTTCCATACGGACACACGAACGTTATCCAAAAGGCACCGGCTGAGGTTTAAAAGCAGTGGAACGGGTTGACCCCAGGCCCCCAAATGAGCAAAGGACTCTTTAACATGAAGGGCGCCTTGACCCCAATAACTATAAGCACCTCTAATTGCAAGGATCATCTCGGGAATGTCACCGGCCAACCTGTGTTGAACCCAAGTCGCCAGATCAAAAGGAATGAATTCATAGGAACCCCCTTCCTCCGCGACATCTTCGCGTGGCCAATCGCCTGCCGGATAATTCTGCGTGGGTGCGGCTCCGACCCCATTCATGGTATGATCGGGGCTTTTGCGCGCGCCTTGTCAAGGAGTGAAATGTTTCACAAGTGGGGGTCCTTTTTCTTGGTAATTTGCACCCCTCCCGCAGACGGAATCTCCATAGAAGACGAACGCAGATTAGTAGGCAGCGGCTTGGCGCGCGCCGGTGCCGCGAGCAGGTGGGCGCTATTTTGCTTCCAAAGACGAGCCAAACGCGCCCCCTGCCTCAGGAGATTCCCCCTCCGGAAGCTGTAATTGTACACGGGCTTTATCTATCGGGAACTGATGTGCAATAAAAATCGGACTCCGGTCGGGGGCGCGAAGCCTCCAGCTGACCCGCTTGGGTGGGTACCCCATTCCTTTGTGTCATAATTTGACGGTGGGCCTCCATGGCTTCTTGTGAAATTCGAGCCTCGCGCTGTTCCAAATCAACGGGCTCTGCTGAACTATTAAAGCCTAACAACAGAATAATATCAATGTGGCCTAGCCAAACGAAAAACACAATCACCAACCCAAACTCCCAACTGCTATTGCACCCGCAAACCCCACCATTAGAACCAAGGAAAAACCACCGTGAGTTAAGGAATGTTCCTAAGGAAATAGTAAATAAATCCTCATCGCACATTTTTTTTTCATAAGCTCCTAAAAAATAGCCACCATCTCTAGAAGCAATGGCTTCTTGGGGTCATCAATTATTTGGGCACAAAGCATTCAAAGAACACATGTATGCAGCCTTAACCACGTTACCCCACTATTTTTCTCTTTACGTTATCCAGCCCCTGTAAATTCACAGGAATTAACACATAAAATCCCGGAAACCATTATGGGTGCCCTTACGCCATGACCGCAAACTCGATTAAAAAAAGTAGTCCGCACGCATGCGGTAGCGGAAGTGGCAAAACACACACTCGACCCTTGTTTGATGACACAGTTCGGAAAACACGCCTACCCGTTGGAACCCCCTCGCGGCGATGCGCCGTACTTTCGGTGCATGGTGGCGCACCATGGAGAACCTAGCAGAGTTTATACTGTCAATGCAGCGCGACCGAACAAATTAGAAAGGAGGATTTTGTAAAAAAGCACCCCCCGTGGGGCTCGAACCCACGACCACACGGTTAAGAGCCGTGCGCTCTACCGACTGAGCTAGAAGGGCCATGTCAACAAGGGCATATATGCTTTAAAAACTTTAACATATTGAAGGATCTAATTTCGATTTTTCTAAATGTTTTTTAATTTTATAATTTTAAAGTTTTTAAAGCATATATGCCCTTGTTAACATGGCCCTTCTAGCTCAGTCGGTAGAGCGCACGGCTCTTAACCGTGTGGTCGTGGGTTCGAGCCCCACGGGGGGNACATGGCCCTTCTAGCTCAGTCGGTAGAGCGCACGGCTCTTAACCGTGTGGTCGTGGGTTCGAGCCCCACGGGGGGTGCTTTTCGCAAAATCCTCTTTTTCTAAAAATACAAAGATTCCCAAGACATATTACGGGGCTAACACTTTTTTTAAGAATATTCGGATTCTTAAAAAACATCCGTGACAGGATTCGAACCTGCAACCCTCTGATCCGTAGTCAGATGCTCTTCCATTGAGCCACACGGACTCCTGCTGCATACGGCGGATTTAGGGTATATGAAAAATGGTATTTTATGGTTTTATACCTGTTTTGGTTCTTTCCATAACTAGAAATTCCTTGTTCGCAAGACCGTACTCTGAACAGAATCGTTTTATGAGTACAACCTCTTAATTGAAAAGAAACCGAGTTTCAAATCCTGATGATGACGGTTGCTGGCTCCGCCCGGAGAGCGTTTCGATGAACGGCAGGAGCTGGTTCCAGAAGGATTTTTTTTTTTT